TTTTAGCTGACAATGAACATTTAGGGCTTTTGTTGTAAATTCTATAACTTTGCAAAGAAAGGTCATGTAGAGTTGGGAGAGGTCTCATTTTAATCAGAAATGTGCGGGCTACAATCATGCCTCATTAGGAACGGTTCGGGTTATTTTTTGGGGTTTCTGAAAAACTCGTTTTCCAGAAAACCAGGTCTTGGAAGGGCTATGCGGAAGCAGCATGGTCGTATTCGTAATTAGCATGGTCGATAACCTATAACGCACTAGATTCCGAGCAAAAAGCGTTTAATCACTTCGTGGGGTTCCCTCGTAAGAGTATTTAATATGATTTACATCAAGATTTGAATGTGGCCAGAGCTGCGTCTTTTATGATTCTTTCAACAAAGTGTTGCAAAGCCGCTATCAACTTTTTCTAGAAAACTTCTTGATCGTATTCTTTATTTATTAAACTTCTTTATTAAACTTGAAGAACTAGTTTTCTAAAATAATGTGGCTGCTGAGCGATGAAAAACATTGAATCTAACGGAACAGTAGCTTTTGACATTTTGGCATAGCTAAATTCAATTTCTTTCATGTTTTTTGATAAAGTTGGTCTACTATGGATCGAGAAATCAAGAAAATTAGCTCGTTATAATCCCAATAGTTTGGAATGTTAGAATGTTTGGAAAATGTTGGATAATTTTACTCAGCAAGTAATAGATGCAAATGATATCTAATCATATCTTCGCCGTATTCTGACAGGCAGATTTCATGTCGATCGTAATGAGCTTTTTTCATTGGAGAATGTGGTATCGGACTCAGCTCGGAAAAATAAGAGCAGGCTGTCGTATACACAACCCATAAGATAGGGTAAAAAAGTATATCATTCGATTCGGTTTTCGACACAAACTCCGTATATGATATTTTTATTGCATAAAAAATGAATTCTGATGGAGAAAATAGAGAATAACGGGCAGAATTCCGATTTTTCTGCTTCTGATTCAGAAAGAATGTACTTTCTCAGGAATGAAACAAATTTTTGGAAAAAGCGATGCATACTTTTGTTCGCCTTTAAATGCTGATTCGAATGGCGTATGACGATCGAAGAAAACTTTCAAAACCAGGGAGGAGATAGGTTTGCGAGAGAGGTAGCTCATTTTGTCGAGCGCCTACTCTTGTCAAAATTGTGTAACACAGGTATTTTGTTTTTTGTAACTCAAAGGTATACGATTAGACTCAGTTTTTGATGGTGAATCCGAAAATATCAAATTCGAAAAATTACAGTGAACGGAAGGTGGCAAAATCTTAAATTTTTCCAGAGGGATGCAAATCTTTTGACCTATTGGCGCTCTTAGTATTTTGAGGATTTCTCCCCGAAAACTTGATCGAATTCAAATCAAAAGGTGATATTCGGAATCAGCTCAGTTAGGCTTATCCGACTATGTAGCTTTCGGCCGAAAGTTACGATAGTGCTGCATTTTTGAATTGTGGGCACCTTAAATAGAAGTTGAGTCAAGAGGGAAACCACATACCGCACTACTTCCCAGAGTGAACTTCCGCTCCGGTTCACTCCGTAGTAGACGGCAAGACAAGCACTATAACTCTCTAGAATTCTACAGAATTCTATTACTGACTAGGAGTGCGAGCGGGGCTGGCGTGCATGATAGTGAGTCACTAATCAACTATATTCGTACTAATGTAGAATTCCATAGAATTCTATACATTTCCGCTTGGCTCAAACTTGGTCAGTAATAAATGTATCTCTACTAACGTAGAATTCTACCTTACTACACATATACAATACATTAGCCGAGTGGGAGACAAGCGGAAATGTATAGAATTCTATGGAATTCTACGTTAGCATAGATATACTTTTATTGACCAAGTTTGAGTCAAGCGGAAATGTATAGAATTCTAGGTAAGCAACTATGTCTGTGCTAACGTAGAATTCTATAGAATTCTATAGAATAGCTGAATTGCAGGAACTCTGACATCCCTCTATAGAGGAACGTTGTTTAATAGTACTTATAGGTATGTACTAGTTACAGTTAACTGCGCGGCAGAGCCTGATTTTTATTTGTCTTTTTTTTCTAGGAAAATAAAACGTTTCTGAAGAATGAAAAAATCGTTAACTTTTTGGAAACTTTTTAGTTTCCTAGAAAAAAAAGACAAATAAAAATCAGGCTCTGCCACGCCCTACGACTAGGTCTTAGCTGCTTTTTAAGATCAACCCGAAATTTGTAACTGTTGAGCTAGAGGAGAAATCTTGGAATCACGAAAAGCTGCAAAAATTTTGAGAAAAGAAAGAAATATGAACAGGCATAAGTCCCAATCAGCACTGGTTCGGCGCTTGCTGAGTACGGGTGCTCAGGAGTGGAAAGAAAGAAGAATTTTCCTAGGCAACGCTAGAATGAAAGGCAATAAACCTCCCATTGTTTCGCTCGGTCGACTTAATTGTGTATAAACCAAACTTTTATGCAAGCTTGTATTTAATACATAAGCTAACATGACACAAGTTTCAACGGAAAGTGAACTCATTGCATTAGACCACAATACATTAATAGTTAGTTTTCTTAAAGGCATGATTAAAGAGCTGATATGACCGATTCAGCGATGATGATATATGATAGTAATGACCAACACTGGAAAACTATTTAAATTAGGTATATTAATAGGCATCTAGCAAAATTGGAGATATCTCTTCTCGCACATGCACAACGTACATCTTGAACATATCTATCAACGATAGATATTCTCTTTTTCTCGTTTGTCGTGTGAAGAAAGAGGAAGAGTCAGTGCAGCGTTGTTTTCATTCACCATTTTATTCTTTCAACACTTTTTTAAACTTCTTTTTTCTGCTTCGTTCTTTTAAAAAGAAAAGAACGAAGCAGAAAAAAGAAGTAATACGTAATACGTCACATACATCGCAATGTTTGCACACACATATCTTGTGCTAGAAGAGATATCTCCAATTTTGCTAGATGCCCAATTGAAAAAATTAACTTGAAAATTCTCGCGAAAAAATCTTTTCTCAGTCATTTAATCACATTTGACAGAGTAAATTTCAATATACCAAGCAGCAGCTAATAAAGGACAAAATTAATCGTGAGCAGGTGTTCAGATTTTTTCTGTATCAATCAAAATAAAATCCGAATGATATTTCTTTATTCCGCTTGTCCAAGCGTAACGGCGTTAGCATCAGCATGGTTGGAGATCTCTTAAGTCTCTGTTAAACTCAACATTTCCCGCTCCAATAAACTATGCTTCTGGTATAGGTTTGAGACACACTTAGAGGCTCTTTGCCACTAAAATTTAAGTGCATACTATCTTAAACTTTAGTGTTTCTCCAGTTCGGGACGAAGACCCGACCTCCTTCGAGCTGGGTATTTTTTTTGTTTGTTTTCAGATATTTCTATCGGTAAATTTTTTTTCTACTATTTTCTTTTCATCTTATCGTTTACTACAAAGTCTTGGTTAAATGAAACCCGTTTCTACATTTCATCGAGTATCTAAATGCAAACATAATCAGCAAAACAAAGTCAATCAAAAAGTTCGAAAAAATCTACATGTTTACTATCAATATGTTATAGTTTTTTTCTGAGAACACGTCGAATAATAACGAAAGTCTAATTCATCTTCATCAACCACTTTAACTGAATGCATTTTTAATGTTTCTGGAACAGATTTTGCCGTTTTGAAAAGATTTTCAAGTTTAGTTTTCGAACTATCAATATCATTTCTCGTGATTTCAATCAAAATTATTTTCTGAGTTTTTTTCTTTGCAAGTGTAATAAAATCTTCAGCTGATCGACATACTCCTCCTACCAGTATAGCTGACCACACAAGACGTTTTACAGTACCTCCAATTTCATCAACTACACTCTTACCATGAGCAGTTGCAAAAAACTGCCAACTCAAATTTATTTTTCGTTCTTTAGCAATTCGTGTTAAATTTCGAAAATGTAAACGTTTAAACTGAGAAGCAGCACCATCCGAAAAACAATTTATTTCTTCAACATTTGGAACTGTTTCGATATGATTTAAAACGATTTTCAAAGCAGAATCAACAACAAATTTATCGTGTGTTACATCTAACGATGGTAGAACAAAAGAAAAATTTTCACCTTTTGACCACAAAAAAGCGGTAAATATACTCCACGGTTTCGTGTCCCAATGATCTCGTCTTGTTCTTTCGTATTGAAATTCTCTGCAAAATCGCCTTACAATACTATTTTTTCATCAGGTCTTTAACTTTTTAAAATACTTTGCCTGTTCTCGTTTAATGTACACATGAAACAGAAAATATTCAACTTTTGACTTCAATAACAAAACTGCTTCATCAACATTTCCTGAAAACACTTTTTTTTCTGCACGACCATTTTCGTTCATCCATTGTGACCAAGTAATCTTAACGTTGCCGTCCGTAACATTTTTGACAAAGTGAACCATAAAATTTTGACAAAGTGAACAACTACTGAACATACATTCTTTGTTATTAGTATTACAAACTAAACTATCGGTAAATGTTTGCAAAGTTGAGCAGTATTTTCCACCAACGTATCCATCAAAAGATTTTAAAAGTAAACAAATATTTTCGTGATACAAACACAAACAATTCCTATGAATTCGTTTCTGAAAATTCGTTTCTGATTAGTTACTTTACTTCCATCATCCTCTTTAATAACAACTGTGTCTCTTTACCTGGTAATTGATATGAAATATCGTCTCGTAAATAGAAATTATGAACGTCATTTTTTAGTTTGTCAGCAAGCTGAACTGTAGTACGTTGATGTTTAGATTTAGGAATCAAACCAAATGTTTCAGCAAGGTGCTGAATGATAACTTTTTTCTTTTTATCACATTTTGGAAGTAAAGAATTTGTTTTTTTTAAAGCTTTACTAAATGATTGACGACTTTTGAATGAACTTGGAGGTTTATTAACAAAACAATTTTTTTTATTTTCTCGATACTTTTGTTGACGAATTTTGTTTTCGGTACGAAATTTAGCTAAGCTTACTCCTGTCAGTTTTTGCTTTTTTGAATTATAATAAACACGATCTTTTGCTTTCACTGCTTCATATTTAACTTTATCTTTTTTTGATTTTCTTTCGATATTTTTTCATTCTTTCAGCATTAGTCATAGCCATGTCAAAATGACGATAGTAAGAAGAAATAAATAGTTACCTTGATGAAAGCGATACGAAAGATATTCGGCAATAGTAATTATATGACAGAAAAATTTGCAAATCTTTATCCAGAACTGATTCGCCTTTTCTTTTCCAGCTATTTATATATTGTGAACTGCCAAAAGAAAACGGACGGCAAAAGGAAGAAAAGAAAAAGAAAATACACTGATCATTTAAACCGTTTATTTTTTCGTTTTGAACGACTATAGTCTGTTCAAAAAATCTGAACAACACGTCATTCAATGCGGAATCTGATATTGATTCCGAATGTGTTGCTACAATGGTTAAAATTAACCGTAGCTGGAAATATCGAAAGATACAATAAACCTTGGAGATTTTTTGAAAGATTTATCGGTAGATAAGTAAACTAAAGGTCAAATCAGGTTTAATTTGTAACCAGAGACTGTCTGACGTTAGTACTATCGAAATTATTGTTGAATTATGAGCTAGGAATAGCACCAAAAATGAAGTTTTTGTCACACCGTTACGTTTTTTTCCCTCTAGATGAAACATTTTTCAGAAACAGTAGTGCATCAGAACCCCCGTAAAAAGTTAGTAATAGTCCACTACTTTATTCACCGGTATTTCGTAAAGGACTCATAAAAATTTTAAAATAAGGTCTTTTCGTAACGGTGTGACAGCGATATTCATCAAGTATTGTACTAAAAATATCTCAAGGTGAAGGATAGGACAAAAGTTGGTTCTTTTGACAAAAGAAAGGACGTCTATGATAGTTTAGAGAACACCTGAAAGCGCGGGTTCGAAGCTTGTCCTTAACGTTTATGGTTGGTTTCGAAGTAGAAAAGAAAAAATTGCTACCACCCTAGAGATCGATTCTTATATAAGAATCTTACCAGAAACCTATAAGTCTCTTATCAGTATCTTATAAAATTCTTATAAGAATCTTATCAGGTTCTTATATAAGATTGTTTAAGATTTCCCATCTACAGTCGTAAGTGTCTTATAAGAATCAGATAAGATTTTCATACGAGGTTCA